TAAAAATATTATATATATACGATGAAAATAATATTATTACAAGTAAATAAACTAATTAAAGATGAACAGATTTGATGAAATTTTTATTGTTCCACACCCAGACCTACATAATGATAGTCTAGTTCCTTCAATACCTCACTATATATATATACGCGTAGATATATACGTGTGCGTATGTATATATTTGTACTTTATTTATCACAATAATAACGGGAGTATTATTGATAATGTCAGATGCAATTTTTGCGCATTTTTATTACAGACGTTTCATTACATTAACATAACAAAATCTATACTTTCAAGGTACATGACCGTTAAAATGTTGTCTACCTGTGAGATCTTTAAGGATTATGCGCAGTGTTCAAGCTCCTGCACAGAACGTATATTAAGCTAAATTAGTCTCATTATTTAATATCATTGTCTTTATTCCTGTGAGCTTACCAATATCAATCGTCGCAAGCGCTTGGACACTTCGATAAGATTAAAGCGATCACAGACAGAGGCATTTCATAGGTGACTACTGCGAATACCTAAGTAGACACAGAGGCTAATACTTTTACGATTTCTAGGATGTCCGTTCTACGTAGGCATTCTCAGGCATCACCACCGTTTTACGATAATAGAGGCTGCAAAACCGACAAGTCGAGTTTGTAACGTAAACTCCGTGTCTTGCCTTATGTGGTGTGACCTATCTAATACAATATTGATAATGTAAATATAAAGCAGTGATTAATGTAAAATCGTATAATTGCATATCGTAACAATCTTGATATATTATATATACAAATCGTATTTTTTTATCTTTAATATTGTAAAATGTAAAAAGTATCATGTAAAGTAATCATAAAATTGGACGCCGAAATATCTTATGAGATAATAATAAAGATCGAAATATGATAAAGGAATTATTAATAATAGCTTCTGGAATATAAAAAAGTGAAGAGAATTCCTTATGCACGCCCTTGTTAAGCTCTCTGTTATTTATATGATCCGTCCTAGTTCATCTATGAATATCCGTCAGTAGAAAGTATTTACTTCTAGTAGACCGTCGTGTTATAGTTCTGAAGGCACTGTTCAAAAGTTGACTATTTTTTTGAAATAACAAGTCTTCAAAACATATTCAAACGATCTGACATGGAAAATCGTTACAAACGTCGACGCATTTTTCACATGCCTCGCTTGAACTATATCACAAAACTCAAAATAGAGTAGTTTCAACTTGACAGCCAGTGCCAATGCCAATGCCATATTTGTCAAGTCTGTGATCGGTTAGGAATATCATGAGCTAGCAAATCGATGGTCAGAATTCAGGCTTATGATACGCAATGGCCGGTGCTTCATTAATTATGTATCAATATCGTATCATTATATTACACAAACGCTTATTAATTTAGAGGCACATTGCTAAGGGTCTTGGTTCTTAACCCTTTCCTTACCGAGTACGCGTCCGCGAGTAAGTTTTCTCTTATGGGTGACTATAGTCGGCGCTGGTATCCACCGCTCGTTATGTGGATGCTGTCTAAAGTCGGCGCTGGTATTGAAAGGGTTAAAAGTTGCTCCCTACGTTAATGAACTTATGACAATCTAACTATTATAATTATTCAGTACGATAGCGATTTGGCATATAATGTGAAAACTGTACAAAGATTCTGAGAATATAATAATATTCAAACTATTGCTTTGTACACATAGAAGTGAAACATGGCTGAAAAAGCCGTACTATGAAAAAATTTCAATACTTTTAAGATGTTTTGCAACTTGGTATGTTGAGCCCGCAATAAAAGAGAAAAAAAAAAAGAATGAAATATAAAATTGTCATGTGCATAAAAATAATAACAAAACTTCTATTATATAATACAATTTTTCTACTGAATTTCCTTACCTAGGCAGGAAAACTTTGGCTACTGCTACATACTATTTGTACCTCGGCAAAACCGCCGAATTTATGCTGCTAAGAACACTGATTGCGCATCTAGAATAAAAAGAATTGCACGCAGTACACACAGTATCTAAACCAGAAACAGATCAATTACATACTCAGGAAGACCTTAACAGTAGTATATATGCTCACGCTTTTAATAAACCTGAATTCTACTCACAACGATCTTATCAATTAAGCATTCACTATACTCAGAGACTCTCCCACCCCGGAATGTTTAAATGTTTCTTCATTTATTCATTCATACATTACTGAACCACGTGTTGTTCACGTTCACAACTTACTTACAAGCTCTTAGCCTTTAGAACGATACGTCCACAATACTGCTCTGAGATGCGAATGCTCTACAGAATGTACACAGTAGACAGCAAAAGCGTCTAGACCAAAGATTGTTCATATTTATTTCAATGCGAAACCTTTTTCAAACTAGAGAAATCAGGCTGATGCATTATGTATAAAAGTTGATTCCACAACATACAAAAATGGGTAAGTTTCCTAAAAAACGTGTAAGAACATTCCCTGAATAGGTAATCACATGATAATTCTGTTTCCTAAGAGATACATTTTCTCATAAAAACATAAGAAAAACTTTTAAAAACTAAAATTTTGAATAATGTATCATCTTTTAATACACTTTTGAAAATTTTATGCTCCATCAAAGTACCAGCCTGTGCCCATCAACATGAAGAAATAGTCATGTAACTGCGAACAGTCTAGACGTAGATACCGCCTTTCTGAATCCAAACATATGGAGCTCTATGTTAGATCACAAAAAGTATGGTGTAACGGTTAAAGGTGGAATTACTCTTTCAGAATCAGGCACTGCGTGGAATATCACTGGGGATTTTTCATCGACAGTTGAAAACTCTAAAATACTAGCTACGTTACCGCAACGATAACAATAATTTGGAGCTGACCATACTGTTACAAGTTTATCATTAAACATATATTTATAACCTGCAAATAAAAAGAATTCAAATATAATTGTATACCATATTTTTGCGCAATTCATACCTAAATTAAAGGAATTATGTATAATTTATATAATAATATATACCTTCATGAACCAATTGGTGAGCTCTACAAATAAGTTTAAGATCGTTGATTTCCATGAATTCATATGTTACGGTACTTCCAAATAACCAACCTGCTCCACGCGGACTAATTGTCCATGATTCAACATCATCTGGATCGGACCAAACCAAATCGCAAAATGCACCTGGAAAAACAGAGTTATCTGTACAACGCGGCTTCGATATTACGCGGTCTATAAGTTGTAGTAACTCATATTCAACGCGGTTACGATTTCGATATAACACGGTCTAGAATTGTAGTAATCCTTTATCTCTTCGTATATTTCTCACCGTGCGACTTAAAAATCAAATTTTATCTTAGTTAAATTGAGTCTGATCTGAGTCTCGGATAACGCGATTTATATAACGCGACATTTCTATGGTACCTAACATCCGCGTTATACGAGAGTTACCTGTATTATAAAATAATAAAAATACCTTTATGTGGAATTTCTTGGTTTCTTTCAATGGTCCTAATTTGATCTAATGTTCTAATAACTGGAGATAATCCACCATGTACACAAAGTACTTTTTCATCGATTAACTAAAACAAAATATTTACATGTTTATTGAGTACATTAATACATGTATGCCTTAAATTCATTTATTATTTATGAATACTAACGGCAGCAACTGCGAGCAAGTCGAACACCCTACAGCAGTATTTCCATGCATTAGCATTGCCATATTTGTTTTGACATTCATCTGCATAGAATATAATAACAAACTTAATTACTATTTTTATTAACCATAAAAACCATAAACATGAGTAATTTGTCTGGATTCATGATTTCCTCTAAGTAATGTTATTCTATCAGACCATTTAGCTTTAAGTGTGAGTAGGCGGGTAAATGTTTCTATACTGTAGTACCCTCTATCTACAAAATCTCCCATGAATATATAATTTGTCTGAGGCACAGCGCCTCCATTACGAAATAATTCTTCTAGATCGTAAAACTGAAACCAAATCAATAATTATAACAACTATTGATTCATATAAGAGCATTTCGTTCTTTTGTTACCGAAAGTGTTATCGTTATCTATAAAGATATCAATATCATGTTGAGGTTAGAACAGAGATACGAAATTTACCTGACCGTGAATATCTCCACACACTGTTACCGGAGTGGATACTGGTTGAATATTAGATTCTTCCAATAGAATATCACATACTATGTCACAAAGTTTCTAAACAAAATTGACTTTATTATTAAAAGAAATGCAGAGAGCATAAGTAACCTATGAGTATACATTTGACACCTTGTCGTACACATCAATGAAATATATTGTAATGGGTACCATAATAATATTTTGCACGTATCGTTTACCTTAAGGTCATTTTCGGGGAGATATTTGCATTCTTTTGCAAGTTCCATCCATTTATCGATGTCTGACATTTTGGACTCGTATCGCAGGAAAATACTGATCGCGCCCTCACTTACACATGTGTACACGAAAATGTATAGTTCACTTGTGTTTTTAAAGATTGTTTTAGCGAATCAATTTAAATTAAGCTTTCGATCTCTATTCATTTTACACACAAGACTTTAAGCGCTCTATTTAACAAGAAATTACTCTTTCTCCCCGCGTTAGACGCGAAGTTAATTAACCCACTGTGAAGCAAGATTAAAAAGACCTAACTTTCATTCTCTTGAACCCTTTCATCTTATTGGCTCTAAATTTTCATCCTAAAACATGCAATATATTTGAAAATGAAAGTCCATTTATAAAGACATATTGCAAATTCACTACTACGTCTCTATTTGTTAATAATATTATCAATAAAAATAAATATGCCACATCACGATACAAGTTATTTAACGATTTAAAACTGTATGTTAATTTTAGGAACACATGGCGTACAAACCAATAATATTGTCTAATTCCTAGTATTTTTCGTTTTACCTTTGGTGCCTAAAAAAGCTTAAAAGTATATTTGACAATTTTATTACGCAAACTCAGAAATCTTTTAAATTTTCTACGGTTATATATTTCGTATATGTACATTGTATTAACTATACAAAATTCGGTCAAATTACATTTATTGAGAAATAATTAAAAACAATGTACAGTGCTTGTAATTCTTAATGAAGTATACAAGATACATGTGACACTTTCATTCTAAATATTTTTAGTAAAATGACATTGCAATAGTACCAATATAATACTAGCGATCATTAAAGATCAGCTACTGTAATGAATATTATTTTCTTTAATTGATGATTGCAATAATACAATGTATACATACAATCCACAAAAATAATCAAATCTCTATAGATATTTCTTTCTTCTTTGTTGTAAGTTTATATATTAAATATTTATTAATGAATCTATCGGTTTCGTCAGAATGTATGTAGTAATCTCATTGGTCGCTGTTTACTTTCTTATCGATTATAATGTTCCGCGCCAGTAAAAATAATTGCCGCGTAGGATTCAAAATCAATAAACAGATCTGTAAAGAAAAAATGACTGTTTGTTATAAAAGGACCGATAAACGACTAAAGGTGTAGTTCCAGCTTCCTTCGATAGCAAATCACCGTGGGACATGGAAAAAGGTCAGCAACAGGACGATGATATGGATTTTATCTCGCGACGAAAATTGGGTCACAACGAAAGCGCCTGTGCGCACGCTTCGATTATCGATTGAAACGTTACGTGCCTTGAGTTCGTACGCTGGATCTCATTTATGTGAACGCAGTGGCCGTGGAAGTTCGTAGCGTGACTTTCTCGTAGTAGGCCAGTGCTTGACATCTTTCATTTGTGGTCTGTGTGCAATCGCAATTTTGGAAAAATGCGGTGAAATTTGATGTACAGCGACGTGCTTCCGCGAAATCGGCCATTTTGGTAGTGCGTGTTTCACGAAAACGGATAGGATCATCTCTGGCAGCTACCCTTGACGGTTGTGCGTGGAAGTGGTGGCAGCTCGGTGTCACCCACAGGACACAGCCGTAAAACTGAAAACGATCGTGTTCCTGGGCCAGTGATCAAAATGGCAGGAAACGTGGGTATGGAACAATTAATCCCGATTGTGAACAAGCTGCAGGATGCGTTCACACAACTTGGGGTGCACATGCAACTCGATCTACCACAGATCGCGGTAGTAGGTGGTCAGAGTGCAGGAAAAAGTTCCGTTCTTGAGAACTTCGTTGGAAAGTAGGTATCCTATTTCTTATCGTTCCATTGTCTTTCATTTTCATAACCCTTCTTGACATGCTTCGAGTATCGGTAATTATAGTTACAAGAGTATTTAAACGTTTGGTTCAAGGCGTGGCGATCTACGCCACGTTATAATTTTGATATCCGTCATCGGTTATTTTAATTTATACTATCCCTCTTTTCTATACCCCTTTAGGTTAACTATTTTAATCTATCGATCGTGTCATCAAAATCAACTATATCTTTATGATTTGAGGCCGCCTACACAGCGACCTGTCAAACGGTTATTCTTTCATTGCTGTAATATTTAACCTTCTACCGAATTACCTAAAGTATACATATGCGATAAAGAGAATTATTAATTTAATTGTTCTTGGTTTAGACTATTTAGTGCCACTCTTTATTAATTTTCCTCTTTCAATGTAGTATACGGTAAAAATATTAATAAACATCTTTGATACCTAAATTTTATAAACATTACTTGTCTATTACGCGTTAATTTCAACTTCACTATGGTAAAATAATTATTATAACAGTATAGATAATTATAATTAATTTATGTAACATTGAAAAATTAGATTATTATATTGCTTATAGAGATACAGTACAATTGTAAAATATATTACTTTACAACAATTACATCTTTTCCAATTTCATGTATACGAACATTACTTAAATTTATAGAGATATATTTATTAAATATAT